ATAAAATATTTATTAAGAATGTAGAAAAAGAGCGTGTAAAGATTTTTTTCTATATAATAATGTAGTTAAATGATCACTGATCACTATTATAATTTGGTACAATACCTATCTATGTACAATTCATTAACTAGTTAATTAATTAAATAATCGAGGAGGTATACATAATTGCTTACAGTAAGGTAAGTACTCTTTTACAGTCTAACATTGCTACTATACCATGTATAGTAGTAGATATAGTCCGATTGAAATAATGGTAATAAAAAAAAGTTTTAACAGCCAATGGCGTTGGAGTACGTAAAGCGTTATTTAGGAAAATGTTTTCATTACAACAAATCCAACGCAGAATAAAGGACTAGAGCCAATAAGAACATAAAAATGCCCTCCAAACAGAGTTTATTTGTTTAGATTCTGAAATATGACCTTAGTCCTTTATGAGAGTTTTTTAATTCTGATGTCACTCGAACTATAGACGATATTCCACTTTATTCTTGAATTTTTGATAAAAACGATCTGAATCGTAACATAACGAGATAAAAATAAAAACTAAATGTAATGACTAAATGTAAGATTGCACAAACAACATAAAATTGGTAGGTAGATGCTGCAGTGACCTTTGCAAAATATAAAAATGATTCAAATAAAGACTAGCTTGAGTATAATGTTTTTTATTATTCTCGATAAAAGCTGATTATATCGAAGTCAATGTTCGTTCGATTAAAAGGTTCTTTTTAATTATTCACATACTTTAAATTGTTCAATTCCTACTATTTGATATTCCCTGCTAAAAAATTAATTCCTTATTAAAAAGCATTATTCATAAGGCACATTTTAAGTGATTAAACCCGAAACGAAAGTCTTATCAGATTAAACTGCTGCTAGTGAATAAACAAAAAACAAATACATATTAATTAAGAACCTTAATTAATCGAACGGTTTTGCTTTTTTAAATTTCCTAAATATTAATTATATGTTGTAAATTCGCATTTAAGAATCACGCACCCTAAAAAAATTCCTTGTCTATCTAACTTAATTTTTTTACGCATACACTAATAAAACTCGTTGTCACTACTATGCCGGCTAGAATCGTTATTCATCTTTTGAAAGTCTCCTGCACTATTAGCCATATCGCAATGGGCTATCATGTAAGCCAAATTGTTAATACTTTCGTCATACGAATCGAGATACAAATTATTATCACGGTGAGTGTTGACGTGGTGAACTGAAGAATTTTCAAAAATTAACAAAAAAAAAACAATCTCAATTTTTAGAGGTAATGATAAAAATGGATGGGGTGGTGGTAGTAAAGGAGGGAAAAGGAGGAATTATGTTGTTCACTAACGCGCAAAATAAGTAAATATATATCACCAAAAAATTTCGGTCATGTTTATTTTAAATTTAATAATATACAACTAATTAATTGTTTAATAAGTCCATTAATAAAAACCGAAAAACGAAGAAACTTTTCAACGTTCGCATAAAATTAAATTTTAACTGATTACGCAATTACTTTTCTGCTTTAACTTTTTACCAACAGCAGCTTCTGTGTTTTCTTTTAGTAAAACATATTTTTCAGTAACGGCTTTACTGGTACTTGCAGCTTTCAAGTCTTCTTGTCCAATATCCTGGGCTTGTCTTAACAAATATTCCTTAAACAATTTATTTTTATTATCTTCATCTTTCTTATGACCAGTTTCCTTTTGAATTTCCCTATTTTTGGGCCAACGTTTTCTTAATTCTTTTTTAGTTGCTTTTCCTTTGTATGTCTTGGATGCTAAAAGCTTTTTCGCCTTTAATTTTTGTAGTTTGTTTGCCATTCTTTCGGCCCTATAAAATTTTGCTCGTTCCCTAATACACAGGGATCTGTTTCTAGAAGCTTTGGAGTCCAATTTGGGACTGAACCGTTTTTTAAAATGCTTCGAATCGATTTTTGATACCGTTTTCCCTCCAATACATTCATCAGAAGATAGGGACAAAATTATTTTATTTTCAAAAGATGTTACTTTAGGGCTTTCGTCTGAATTCATTTGAGCTTTATTAGAATCTTCAGGAACGTCATTGCAAATCAACGAAGATTCTGTCGATGTATGAATTAAGTTTGCCTTGCAAGATGATAGTTCTATTTCTGTTTTCTCTTCTTGATGGACATTTTCTTCTTTTTCTTCAGTTATTTTCTCATTAACTTCAATATTCGTTTTCTTACTTTCTTTATAATCAAAACATATATCTTCATTTTCTACGATGCTTTCAATATTACTGTTTGTGCTACTCTCTTGCACGCTTTTAAAATCTTCGTCTTCTTTGTTGAGTTCGTTATTCTGACAACTTTGAAAGGATTGAATGGTTTGATAGCTCTCTGCAAGTTCATTCGTTAATGTATGGTTTGAAATAATCGAGGCCGAATTTATTACATCGCTATTATGAATCGTTTTTTCAAACCAGGACGATCCGATTTCTTTTTGTGGAGACTTGTGTTTGTTAGAATGCTTCTTCTTTCGTTGTTTTGCGTATACAACTTTAACAGCATTTTCTTTCTGTAGTACCTGACTGCTTGTGTTTAAAGAAAGGAAACTTCCGACTACAGAACTATTATTTCCGCTTTCTTCAATCCTTTCAGAGTTTAAATAATGTTCGTTAGATAGTCTTGTGGATTTTATTTCAACTGGTGAAAAAGTAGATCGTGTTAGAGTAATTGGTTTTGTTTTTGTGTCAGTTTTGGCTGTCGTGACTCCAGAAAACAAATTCATGGATTCTGGAAGATCAGAAGCTGTCAGTCTGGAATTGCAGGTAGTCACCAACAACTCGACGTAATGGGCCAAAGATTTAAGACAATCCGTATCCCGGAGGTCCGTTAAACTATTCTTGATTGAGTTCTTGTACATAGTTTCCTGATGGGATTCGGAAGGAGCTTCCAGTTTAGAAACGTCTGTCGGTCTTTTGCCTTTAAAGGGCAACCGTGGGGTGATATTTTTGCGTGGCCTCGTGGCATCATCGTTCGCTTCCATCTTGTACACATCATCAACGCGAAGAATTTCGTCATTGCTAAAAGATTCTAGGACTTTGAGGTAAGCGTTACCATGCGAAACTACGTCTTCCAAACTGTCGTAGGATGAAGACGGTAATCGAAAGTCTATTGACGATACAGATTTTGAAAAGTCTTCTAAAGATTCGTTGCTAGTGATCTCTGAAATATGCTGTTTGAATGGAAAGCTGACAACGTTATGAGATTCGTCAGATTTGATGAGCATTTCAAGAAATTTCCTAGGCACTATTACAGTGTCGTTGTCATTTCTGGTAAGACTTGAACAAGATTTAATTTCATCAGTTTTGGTCGGCTCTATAGATTTTTCACAGATTTCTAGCAATTTATATTCTGGTTCCTCTTCTACTTTTTGTTCCATGGACGGTCCTTCCCCAAAAGGATGGTATTTAATTACCAAAGTGCTTAGTTCTTCTTCACTACGAACATCTTCTTGTTTCAGTTCTTCATTGACATACAATTCCAATTCTTTAGCGTTATTGGTAGTACAATCTTCTGTGTTAAGTGATAATTCACTCGCTTTTATTCCAAACTTATTGTGAATTTTGTTCATCAATTCGTTTTGATTAGAAAATTTTTCGACCATTTCGTTTGTTGTTTTTAAAGCTGCTATCTTGGAACGAAGATGCATGATTTTGTCTAAAGTTTCGTCGCTCGTTTTCCTATTCACGTATTTGCTGGTAAAGTTGTCGGACGTGTCACGGGCCCATCTGTCAGCAAGGTGTTTTAACAAAACGTGTTTGAGGCACTTGTCAATGGCTGTGCCACTACGACTCAATTTTTCAGATAGTGTTTCATAAAAACTGTCAGGTTTGTTTTCGCCCAGGTTCAAGTCTGTCAGTAAACGTTTCAGGTGTTCGGGTTTATTCAACGAGACAGTACTTTGGGGTCGTTCGGGGGCCCTTTTCGGATGTCTACTACGTACACCTCGATTAACGGACATGTGCGATCGAGATCTGTGAAGATTTATAACATTCGTCGTTTGGCAACAGTTGGGGTCTTCGTTATCATTAACTCGTTGGTCGAATATTGAGGGTACATTGTCATACCTCGTGTTCCTAATCATTGATTCCTCTTCGAGAAGTTTTCTTTTAAGCGATTTTTGTTTTTCGTTTTCGGGGGGCGCCTTTTTCACCCCTGAGATGCGTGTTCTTGGACGTCTATTACCGTAGAAGCATTTGAAATCGTAAGAAGCACTGTTAGTCCGGGTTTCCGCCCTCGCTTCTGCCCGAAGGATTTGACAATGAAAGTAGTCGGGGTTCTGGAGGAGGGACATTTTCGTTTGGGACGCGTTGTCGCGAGTTTTAATTGATGATCGTTTTATTTCGATTACGTGTCGAATTAGGTAACTATCTTCCGAAGGACTGGGGTCAGTAGCAAGTTCGGAGAAAATATTGGCTGGGAAATGGGGACAGGCATTAGGATTTAGGACGGACAATACGGGAAGGAGAAATAAATAGATATGTAAAAATTAATACCTTTATCTCCTATCGAGTTGTGGTTCGTCACTTTTTGCTGTTGCAACTGCTGCTTGGGGTAACTGGCTAAGATGACGGCCAAACACTGGGCAACGTTGCTATTGGGGGCACAGCACAGGGCGGGCGTCATGCCGCTCGAGTCCACCACCAATACGGATGCACCTTTATCGATCAATTGCCTCGTGACCTCTACGAGACCGTTCCTTGCAGACAAATGTAACGCTCTAAACAAACGAGATCGTGAATATCGTTTATAATTGCTTCATTAAAACAATTTATTAAGAATAAATGTATAAAACTAACTAATTACATTATTAATTACTTACGTTTTTCTGTCGTTATTAATCATATTGATTACATCTTGATCATTTATGTGTTCCAGGAGCAGTAACGCCGCGTGACTGTGCTTTTTAAGGCAGGCCAAGTGCAGCGCAGTGTTTCCATTATTATCATACAGCGTCACGTCCGCTTTATACGATATTAAAACGTCTAAAATCATATGCAAATGTTAATTGAGAAAAATTGTAATCGAAAAATGAGACTTGTTCCTTTTTTATTAATTTTTGGAGCTGCCATTAGGCAATTAATATTTATAAAGTTATTCCTAATAGTAGAGAATAATAATTCACCTATAACATGAGTCTGTCCATTTTGGGCGGCAGCAATCAACGGCGTTCGTCCTTCAGCATCCTGATAATTAATTTCAGCGCCCTTTTCCAACAAGTACTTGGCACACTCGGTGTGGCCGTGTAGGGCCGCGATGTGTAAAGGCGTACGGTTCCTTGCGTCCTTCAATAACACCGATTCTGTCCCGTAACAATTACACAATAGTTCAATGCACTTTTCAGAACCAGAAAAACTATTAAAAAAAAAACAAATAAATAATAATTACGGTATTACAAAATAAAAAGGAATGAAACGTACGCTGCACAATGTACAGGAGAGAAAGGGTTGCCCTTCATATTTTCGAATATTTTTTTTCCAAGGAGGAAGTCAACACAATCTGCATGACCTTTAAAGGGGAAAAACAAAAATCAAATTACCAAAAATGAAAACAAATAAATAAATACTGACCATTATAGCAAGCCCAGTGTAATGCTGAACAGTCTTGTTTGTCTAAAAGGGTTAAAACGTTGGGATCTGTGTAGCAGACGACGGTTTTAAGACAGGGTAGGTTACCACAGGCCGCAGCTAAATGGAAGACTGTTTTACCGTTAACGTCCACTTGTTTTAAGTCAGCCCCTTTCGAAATTAACAGCTGAACCGCGTTATTTTGACTATTAACCACCTATTTCGTTTTTTAAATAATAATTAACAATAAAATTGTACAGAATTAAACCCTAAAAAGATAGACTTACAGCTCTAAAAAGAGAAGACCTATTATCACCATCAACTATATTAGGATCTGCACCGGATTTCAAGAGGTTCAGGGCGCAGTCCGTATGTCCCCCTAACACAGCCAACATTAACGGGGTCCTTTGTAAACTAAAAAACGAAAAAAAAAAATATTACAACGAATACTTTATTATTACTGATATGCACCTGTCAGACATGTTGATAACAGACTTATCCTCAGTGTTGTCCAGCAACAGAGCCAGACAGTGCATGTGTCCGTTTTTTGCGCTATAGTGCACCGGATTCATGCTGTAAATGTTATCACAGATGGCGACTTTCGAACCGAAACGCAACAGCATTTGAACGCAATGCGTGTATCCCTCTCTGGCTGCGATAAGCAATGGAGTGCTGCCGTGCTCGGTTCGCACATTTGTGTCGTGGAAGTAAGGTAAGAGCATGCTCAAAATGTCCAAGCTACCGCTGACAGCCTAAAACAGGAATAGACAAAATTCTACGACTTTTAAATACTTTTTTTATAGCTGCATCTCCTCATTACGCCCAGTAAGTAAAAAAGGTGCAAATATCACAATAATTAAGTTACTATGGTGTTAAATGTAAACTTTTTATTTATTATCCCCCCCGTCAATTAAAATGGGACTTACAGCTAAATGAAGAGGTGTAGTGAGGGGCATGTCTGCTCCGTGCATGATGAAATTACTCCCAACAGCAGAAAGCAAATATTCCACGGCCTTGTAATTATTTCCAGCGACTGCATAGTGTATTGGGGTAAATCCGTTATTGTCTTTCATCTTGGGATCAGCCTTGTGTTCTATTAGGTATTTAACGCATCTAAAAAAAAGTACAAACAAATTTAAAAATGTCATTACGATTTGGTATTTTTATTATTACTCACTTTTCTTCTTGGTTATAGACGGCTGCAAAATGTAAGGCAGAGCAGCCCTCCTCGTCTTTAAGATTAACAGAACTGCCTAGGCCCACGAGAGTAAAAACGCATGGGTAACGACCCTGCACCGCGGCATAATGTAAGGGTGTTCTTCCCTTTTTGTCTACCAACTGGAATTTCGCTCCGTTACTTACTAATAAATCGAGACACTCCACAGATCTGAAGAATTATGAAAAACATATTCTAATATGTATATTCTATTAATATTAATAAAGGGGTCCATACCCTTTATAGGCAGCGCAATGCGTCGCCGTTTTCCCCGTGTCATCCTGTGCATTTATGTCCACTCCTGCTTGCAGGAATTTCCTGCAGCATTCCACAAACCCCGAAAGACAACACATGTGTAACGGGGTCATTCCTTCGTATCTGCAAATACTGTGAAATGTGAAAATTCAGAAAGATGGGGACATTACAATACTCACCCTTTTTTATTTGGATCTGCACCATGGGACAAAAGCGTATTCGCCAAGAGATCGTGACCGTACTGAGCTGCTATATGTAGGGCCGTACATCCGTTCTTGTCTGTAGTATCCACAACAGCTCCTAAAATAAGTAACAAAATTTTAAAGTAGTCTTGAGCAAATCTATTCATTTCAAGCGCTGAAATTTATTAATTAAATTTTTTTATTCTCTAGCTCTCCCTTTCACTCTTACCTTTGTCAATGAGCGTCTTGCTCCTCGTGAAACGACCATGAAGCGCCGTCATGTGTAAAGGAGTCCTGCCGTCCAAACTTTGTCTGTTAATGTTCACCTTCAGTTCCAAAAGATAATTGAGGCATTCTACGCCGTGAGTACTTGCTGCTGCAATATGCAGAGGCGCCTGTCCCTTATAATTGGTAGCATCTGGGTCTGCATTGAATGCTACAAGCTCCTGGCAGACCTGAAGGTGTCCGTTCATGCACGCGATGTGCAAGGGCGTATTCCCATACGCGTTACGACATTCAGTGAAGGCCCCATGATTCAACAGAAGACGGCAGGCATTAAACATTCCTAATAATGCAATAAAACCATTATAATAGCAGTTTGAAAGAAGATTTTTATGTAGTAAAGAGTTTAAATTTTGTTTATAGACTTACCACTAGCTGCTGCAACATGCAAGGCAGTGTACTGGTTTCGGTCTTTAGCATTAATGTCAGCACCATGTCTTATAAGTAACTCCAAAGTATCTACATGGCCCATATAAGCTGCTAAGTGTATAGGCCTATAAAACAATCGATATTACTATATGTAAACAATTAAAATCTTACTTTCCACACATAATTAAACTTCTTACCTACAGTCTTTTTTATCACAGGCATTAATGATGCACCCTTTTGAGATAAGTAAGTCTACAATGTCATTGTGACCATTCATAGCAGCATGATGCAAGGCAGTCCTGCCTGATCTGTCAGTCACATTTATGTTAGGCACCACCTCCAACAACTGCACCACACACTTGTAAGCATTATTTGCAGCAGCAATGTGCAGTGGTGTCTGCCACTGTCTATCTCTGGCTGTAACATCTGCCTGATATCGTAGTAAAACATAAACAGTTGCCTTAAAATAAAAAAATACCATAACTACAATAAAGTAATATTACTAAACAAAAAACTACATACTCCTGAACCTGTACAACAGGCTCTATGTAACGGAGTCAACCATTTGTTATCTTTACAATTAACTCTAGCTCCATGTTGTAGTAACAATTCTGTGATATTAGGATCACCTATAAAAGCTGCTGCATGTAAAGGACTGCGTTTTTCAATATCTACAAGACATCAATAATATTCATTCATCACTGTTATGAGCATTTTGTTTTATATTATTTATTACCTAAGCAATTGACATCGTGCTTGTTCTCTAAAATGGTCTTTACGTTTTCCAATTCTCCAGCAATTATAGCTTGTACTAGAGGCGGCTAAAAAATAATAACAAATTATAATTTAAAAAATGGGAGATCATAACCTCGAAATTAATTAGTAATAGTACACGAACCTGTTCTTCCAATTGTAAAATGACCATTTTTCAATAACAATTTAACCAAAAATAAGCTAAATTTGGAACGAAATTAAATATTTAGCACATAATAGAAAAATTACAATCCTAAAACAAAAGTCAAAATAAGGGAGAAAACACGATAATACGAATACCAACGTTTGAAACAAAAAATAAATTACTTTAGCAAACATGAATCACGAAAAGAGTTGCACTCAGTTTAATGATTACGAACTGAGTAGATTTCTCGGATCAGTAATCCAAATACGCACAAAGTGAAAATAAATAACTTTTTATTTTGCAAATAAAACTATATAAGTATTTTAATGTGTATTTTTATTGCATGTAGATAAGAAAATTTAGATAAAAACAACTTTTACACAGAAATAATAAATATGTAAAATGTAAAGGCACTTACTATAATTTAGTTATCTACATATTAGCAAAGGCATTTGGATTCTGGTTTTCCAAAAACTCTGTTGCAGACAATTTCTTTGTCAACACGTTATTTACTAAAGAAAATAAATAAATAATAATTAATAATGCAAAATAATGGATTTATTATTGACTTACACATTACGGCTTCCCTATTTTGTTTTTCAAGCTCCCTAAGTTTTTCATTTGCCTTTTCCAATTGCCTCTTTAATTTACTTATTTCTTCCTGCGAATATGTTTTCTTATAACTGGTAAATTCCTTACATAAATTGTTTAACTTTGATTGCTGCTGTTCAATAATTAATTCTTTCGATTGAAGTTGCTCTTTAAGATTGTCACACTGTCAAATAAAAAGTATTTTACAGGAAAATTGTTTTATTTTCGTCTTTCCTTTTACCTCTTTCGATATGTTATCATAATGATAATTGAAATTGACCAACATTTGATTTGCCTGGACCAAATCTTTGGCAATTTCGTCGTTTATTTGAGATTTTTGAGCTATTATTTTAGTTGCTTCTTTCATATCCTTTTCAAGTTCCCCCTAAAAAAGATATTTTTCCTCAAAAAGTTCTTTAGTTATGGACCAACCAATAAAGGAATAATTAATTAGCTGTTGGCTTACATTTTTCTTTTCTAGTTCCTCTAAAAGTCTGTTTTTTTGGTCTATTGCCCATTTTAAGTCTAAGGAGTCCTTTTCCATCTTTGCTTTGTCTGAATTTAATTTTATTATTTCGGTTTTAAGTTCATTTATTGTTGAATGATTTTTTTCATTTTCTAGCTTCATATTTTGCATGCCTTGTAAAAGTTGCGCATCCGACTCATGCTTTAAAAGAATTTCATTATCAAGTCTTTCAACATGAGAGAGCATTCTTGTAACTTTTTTCATAAGATGTTGAATTTCCATGTTAAGCTTCTTTTCAATGACATTTTGTTCTTTAAGGGCCACGGTGTATATGCTGTCCAATTGCTAATCAAAATTAAAAAGCTAATTAGATAGTATCATTTTTAATTTAAAATGACACAAATACCTGATAGAACTCTTTTTCCAACGAGTTCTTTTTAGTACAAATATCTTTAACAGCTGCATCTTTTGTAGCAATTTCTCTTCGTAGACTGTGTATTTCTTTCAAAAGGTATTCATGTTTTTCCTTAAAAATTAGTTTAGAAATGTTCTTCATTCACATTTTAAATAGATTTGTTACCTTCAGACTTGTAATACAATTTGCCATTTCATTTATTATTTCCCTAGGATCTGTCAACTTCAAATCAATTACCAAAAACACTACACACTTTATTTTTGATTTACCATAAAATATTAATTGACATTTTTCATTTTCAACCTCTAACTTAACAAACCTAAAAAATAACAGGTTTAAACTGGAAATTAAGTCAGTAATTACACATATACGTTTCTTTTGATGAAATTTCTTTTAATAGTTCCACAATTTGAAATCGTATTTCATCAAAATGTATTTCTAAAGACTGTTCTGATTTCATTTTCTCAAAAGTATAGGAATCGATGATAGCTTCGTAATTGAAGAAATAATCATGTATTTCTTTAATCTTCACTGCCTATATTAAAAGTAATAACAAATTTTTGTTAACAAACTGATAAATGAATTTTAACTTCTACACTTACAACAGCACCGTCCAAAGAAACTAATGTAATACAAACTGTTTTTAATTCACTTAGACCATTACTAAAAAACACGTCTATTGAATGAGTTTTATTATATATAACTGATCCAGGGCCATAATAATCACAAGTTTTCTTAATAAAATTGTTATTCGACATTTTTTTAATGTTTAATAACGAAAACAGTACACATTTTTAAATTATGACAGTTTAGAGTTTAAGCAAGGGCTTTTGAACTATTTGCGTATCAATGATTTGTAGTTCAAATGTTCACCTAAGTTTAACTTCAAGGCTAATTGAACAGTCAATTCAACCCATAGATTGATTCACTTTAACCTATAATTTTTGAATGTCATATTATCACACTTTTTCAATCTATTAAAGAGTTATTAGTTAATTTTCCAGAAAATTAACAGAATGACGCTACAGCCTGATTTATTATTAACATCTTGCCAAGTTTCTCAGCAGTGGACTGCATGTTTTTGGGATTATACATCAGGAAATTCGATTCAGGCTTACAAAGGAGGGGGTGTTGCGGCTCCAAACACTGCTAATCTAATTGGCAACGATTTCATTATCACAGGGGAGTCTACGAAACCTCTACTCCACATTTGGCCAGTGAACAGTCAAGAACAGTTAAAAAATCAAAAGCTTATTTTACCAGAACGAGCTAGTGCTGTTAGTGTTTGCCCTTACAATACTTTCTTATCTGCAGGCATAGGATCAAAACTGTATATTTGGCAGATATCATCAGGGAAGTTGCTGTGTGTCCAACAAAAACATTTGCAACCTATAACATGCATTAGATTTGTTGATAATGACTTTTTGATAACAGGTGGGCAAGATGGTATGTTGATAGTGTACAATCTTGGCAGTTTAGTTAGTTTACAAAGCAACATTTTGCCCCAAAGTGAAGTTGGACAAACAGAACCTTTATATTCTAAATTGGACCATAGCTTGCCCATAACAGATATACATGTGGGAAACTTTGGTGTTAAATCAAGAATTGTGAGTGTTTCTATCGATCAAACCTGCAAGATTTACAATTTAGTTGATGGAGGGCTGTTGCTGACCATAGTTTTTGATAATCCTTTGACTGCTGTTGTTGTGGATATTGCATTTTGGAATATCTATGTAGGAAGCAATTTTGGAGATTTGATTCACTTTGATTTGCGAAATCCTCCAAGAACTGCACAGTTTCACATTAGTAAAAGTGACAAAAATTTGTCAAGTTTTGTGGGGCATACAAAAAAGATCAATTGCCTTTCACTGAATTTAAACGGAGAAGTTCTTGCTTCAGGATCAGAGGATTGTCAGGTATTAATATGGGAAGTAAAAAGCAGGCAAATAATTAGAAAATTGGAACACAAAGGTTCTATTACAAATATCTCATTTGTAATGAAACACCAAAATATATTCAGTCAAAACTTTAAACCTTTGTTTATTGTGAAAGCTTTGGAAAGAAGTTTGGATTTTGCAAGCGAAAAATTAATTGTTCCTGTAATTCAGAATGAAAAAATCGAATTTAATGATGAAGAAAATGATTCAAATAAGCAGTCTGGAGTAAACCAAACAATTGCTGAATTAGAAGCAGAATTATCAAAGGCAAATGTTGTTAATAAGCAATTGTATGATGGTATGATTAAACTTATAAAGAAATATAATAATGTTAATTAAACATTGTTATAATTTTTTTTATAAGAAATAAAATAGTTAAAATACGTTTCTCTTNAATGGTTCTAATTTTATCTAAAAACTAACATTCCTACTTATAATTATAATGTGATAATATATACAGTTATTGGTAATAGTACAAGAACAGGAACAAGATTGTACAGCCTCTTAGTATTTTCTAAAGTCTAGATCACAGACAGAATCGTACGTTTTTTCTTTTTCAATTTAAATTCACAATCACAAATCACTCTAGACACTTGATAATGTTAACAGCATATTATTTATGCTAGACCACCGTATACCGTGAACAAACAAAGGATTGAAAGTTCAAAGTAATTTAAATAATTTATATTTTAAAGTATTAATTAACATGGCGGTAAGTTTTTGTAATAATTAAGTAATATTTTCTAAGATTATCTTTACAAAATTGCATGTACTTTCTTGTAAATTTATAAAAGAAACATATCCTAACCTCGAAAATAAATCGTGTCGTTTTTAACTGCTGTTTTTGTTATTTTAGGCCGCAGCAGCAGCCAAAGTGCAAGAAGTACGTGAGATTACACGTATAGAACGTATCGGAGCACATTCACATATAAGAGGATTAGGACTCGATGACAGTCTCGAAGCCCGTCAGGTAATTTCCAGACAAAGAAATGTAGCAATTATTAGACAAATAATTAATACGAATTTTTAGGTTTCTCAGGGTATGGTGGGACAGCTGTCTGCTAGAAGAGCTGTAGGCATTGTATTGCAAATGGTCAGAGAAGGTCGTATTGCAGGAAGAGCTGTTCTTCTAGCAGGGCAGCCAGGTTAGTTTGAGTATTACATTATCCAATTAATTAATATTAATTAGTCTTCTTTTTCAAACAGGTACTGGAAAAACTGCAATTGCAACAGCATTAGCTGCAGCTTTGGGTATCGACACTCCCTTTACTAGCATGGCTGGATCTGAAATTTATTCCCTTGAAATGGGTAAAACTGAGGCCCTTACTCAAGCCATTAGGAAAAGCATTGGTGTCAGGATAAAGTAAGAAGAATTTCAATTAATTGCACAAATGTAATTAACTTGGGTATCTTATTTTTAAGGGAAGAAAGTGAAATTATTGAGGGTGAAGTTGTAGAAGTTCAAATAGAAAGACCTGCCACAGGTGTCGGGAGTAAAGTTGGAAAATTGATTTTGAAGACTACTGACATGGAAACTGTTTATGATCTTGGCGGTAAAATGATTGACAGTATTATGAAAGAAAAAGTACAGGCGGGAGATGTTATTACAATTGACAAGGCAACAGGTAATAGGTTTGGCGGACATTTGACTTTTTTGTACTCAGTACTGTTGTTTTGTCAGGGAAAATCAGCCGTTTGGGTCGTTCTTTTACCAGGGCAAGGGACTATGATGCTACAGGACAGCAGACTCGTTTTGTGCAGTGTCCAGAGGGGGAATTACAGAAGAGAAAAGAAGTTGTACATACAGTTACTTTACACGAAATCGACGTTATAAATAGTCGAACCCATGGATTTTTAGCTCTATTTTCAGGTAAAAATATTTATTAAAACTTTAATATTTAATATGTATCTTCAGTAAATTGCATTTTATGTCTATTCAGGCGACACTGGAGAAATAAAGGCCGAAGTTCGCGAGCAAATTAACGGAAAGGTGGCCGAGTGGCGCGAGGAAGGAAAAGCAGAAATTATTCCTGGAGTGTTGTTTATAGATGAAGTAAATAATTAAATGCTCATTGTTTTTGTAAATCATTATTTTTTTCTGCTTTTTCAGGTTCACATGCTTGACATTGAGTGCTTTTCATTCTTAAACAGAGCCTTAGAGAACGAAATGTCCCCAATAGTGATAATGGCAACAAACAGGGGAATCACGCGAATACGGGGAACGAATTACAAATCTCCTCATGGGATTCCCCTAGATCTTCTCGATCGTATGATAATCGTACCAACCGTGCCATACAATGAAAAAGAATTAAAAGAAATTTTAAGGTATATTACGTGTATCATTTAATTAATTAACTAATAATTACTTTCAATATGTCTCTTTATTGTAGCATTCGTTGTGAAGAAGAGGACTGTCAAATGTCTGACGATGCTTTGGTCGTGTTGACGCGTATTTGTACCGAAACGTCGTTGCGTTACGCCATTCAGTTGATAACGACGTCTAGTTTGATAGCGCGCAAGAGAAAAGCGGTCGAGGTAGGGGTTGAAGATGTTAAAAGAGCCTACACATTGTTCTTGGACGAGGCGAGGTCGATACAGTACCTGAGGGAGTACCAGAAAGAATTCATGTTCGACGAAACAGGTAAGAGATAAATTATAATTTGGTCATTATTTGTTTTTTTTTTTTAATAACTGCAATTTTTATGCAGACGAACCCGCGGAAATGGATGTGAGTTGAGAGATTGAGATAATGGAGGATGATGGGGGACGATATTGATTACTTTATTTTACTTATTATCTTCGTTATAATTTGCGCGATTTTGATTTTTAAGTAATTACATTTCATACTATAAACAATAAAAGATAAAGCGTTTTTTTTTTTTTGGTATTGCTCTTTTAATACGTTTTATGTAGGACAATATCACAATATTACTGTAAAATTGACAAACAATAATAAATAACAGCAACTCAAATGTTCGTTTACGAATAAAATAACATAATGAAGAACAGAAACAGATATAACAATAAGGGGATGTGTGGTAGATAACGTTAATGATAATAATGGTTCTAATTTTATCTAAAAACTAACATTCCTACTTATAATTATAATGTGATAATATATACAGTTATTGGTAATAGTACAAGAACAGGAACAAGATTGTACAGCCTCTTAGTATTTTCTAAAGTCTAGATCACAGACAGAATCGTACGTTTTTTCTTTTTCAATTTAAATTCACAATCACAAATCACTCTAGACACTTGATAATGTTAACAGCATATTATTTATGCTAGACCACCGTATACCGTGAACAAACAAAACCTTCGGTTATAGAAACGAATCTTTATTACTTCTGCAGACTAAAAGGAGTAAAACTGAAAAACTAGGAAAAAAGCCATTCCATTATGCAAGAAATAATTTTTGATTTCTTTGGTAAGAAGTGATATTTCTTGCTAATTGTATGTGTTGTTTTTTGTTCACATTATCGAGTGTCTCTTGTAATTTGTTAACAAAGTAAATGCAACACTAAAGAAAATTATACTGTTTGGTCGTGGAAATAATTTTTTTGGAAAAATGAAGTTAAAATTTAAAGAAACAAGTAAATAAGTTTTCAATCGCTTAAGTATTTACGATAATACACGACTTTCGATGACGCATACACACGGTGTATATATATAATTTTATATTAAATCTTATTAAAGCATTGGTCAGATGTTTTCCACCTCGTAATTATAAAAACAGGGTGAAAAATGAAATAAAATTACACGCGCTAACACTCGCTATCCTTCTTGTTGTTGTTTGACATAAGTGCGGTGTTTGGGTCCGATTCTTTCTCGTCCTTCTCGTCGTCCTCTATTTCGTCCTTTTCGTCGTTTATTGGGATGGAAGTGATGTTGGCATTGTAAAAGGTGTTCATCTCGACGACCTGGGGGTTTAACACGCCTGCGTTGGCGTCTTCAATAGCTCTCCTAAGCTCCTTCAGTCCAACCACTCCGATTAGTTTCCCTATTGCCGTTACGTAAGCAATGTTTATTCCCACCATCGAAAATAGGGAGTGAACTTTGAGGAGAGAGGTCCTCTCGACCAGTTGGAAGGGGGCTGGGTCAATGTGGCATTTGCAAAAATCAACTGGGAATTGCATCTGTTCTTCTTCCCAAGCCTTTTGGTCTTCAGGGGTCATGTCACAAACTCTTTCGTTGGGCTGAAAAAAAAGAAATTAAATTTATTTTCGGCGAACGAATTTATTATTTTATTAATTTATTTTTAAGATTATATTCAAACCGATTTAGATGAAAATGTGTGCTTTGTACTTACAAGTTGAACTTTTTTCAACGAAGTGGGGCTTGTAGGAACGATTATGGCCCCATTTTCGCCACTTAAAACAGCCATACTGTCACTGTTGTCAACGTCTTGTAGTTGCGTCGATTTTCTATGAAAAGAAAATTATTAAAGACAATAGGAACTTGATAGTTGATTTATTACTACCTGAAAATATTTTCGAAGGCCAATCGTAGTCTACTTTCTGCCCCAGTGACTGTGGTATAGGGGGTGCATCCAGGGCTATGCGATGTCAGAGGGTTGAATCCCCTTAAAGTAAACGAATTTGTCTTTTTGAGAATCGATTTTTTGGGCTGACTTCCGTAAACTGGGTTGAACATTGGCTAAATGTAATTAAAAGTAATTATTTTATTTATTTAACGAATGAGGGTTTCTTTTTCACGCACCTGGTCGACATTTAGATGATTTTCGGACATTTGTTTCATATTTAAAGCATCCACAGCCGCTGGGGATACGTGGAATCTCGATGGTCGTCTTTGCTTTTCTTCTGTTTTTTTGAGGGCCTCTTCGCGGGCCTTTTCTTGCGCCTCTTTTTGCCTTATCGCAGCGACCTAAGAAAAACATTTGCATTAAGTACAGCAATCGACTGATATTTTCTGAAAATTATTGTATAAAGCAATTAACTTTTTCATTCATAAAAAGTATCTATCTATTACAAGGAATAACTTGATTAATGGAAACACAACAGGACATGCTCGATTTGATTGAAGGAAAAACTTCTAAATAACTGTTGTTAATTGTAAATAATTGAAGAATATAATGGGCAATTTTTTTTTGTGGTAAAAAGAATAAGGAATGTGTTTGATAATTACCTGCAACCTTCTCTCCCTTCCAATATGCTTTTCTATCAGATCTATAAGTTGAAATCGTTGTACGGATCCCAGTAGAATCATGCTGTCTGGGTTGTCGACGAGAGGGAACGTTTTTAACTTTCTGTTCTCCTTCAGCAGGGATTTTAATTGCTCGTATGTCATGCTGTTGTAAATGTACTTGACTTCTCTTAACATAAAGTCTTCTACGTATACGTTGTACATTCCTGAAAAGCGAAAATAAATGAAATATAAGAAAAGGGTTAAAAAACTAAAAGGAGTAAAGATTATAAGTCACCTACTTTTGCTATCTAGATCTGGGAAGTCAGATAAGTTAGGATTGAAGAGGGGATGGAGACATAAAATACATGAATCTTTGTAGGAATTTAAAAGTGTAGGCGATTCTGTACGGGTGCGTAAGTTGGGGGGGGGGGTTGAAAAGAAATAGAATCTTTTAAGATGGGGAGGTATTAGAATGAGTAGGATAACAGAGGGCGCTATGGAAGCCAAGAAATGGGTTGGTAGGACGCCTTCTCAGACATATTAGAAACAGAAGCAGGAGTTAAGAGGGGTAAACGTCTTAAATAGTTATGGATGTGGGATATTCTGGTGTTTGGAAAATATGAGATCGATTTATGATAAGAAAAAGGAGAGAAGAACTAGTCTTAGAACTGATTACCAAATGATAAAGATGATGATGAAAGATTTGAGATGTACTTACCGCTACTGCTCGGCAGAAAGTCGGGTAAATAGGGCAACTTCTTGATAAGAATAATACTGTCGTATATACTGGGCGTTAGGAAACTGGCGACCGCGTTCGATATGAGAACGGCGATCATGATGGGAATGATGTGGGTGATTTGTCCTGTCATTTCGAAAATAATCACAGAAACTGATATTGTGTGGGTCACTGCCCCACTGAACGCCGCTGCACCCACGGTGGCGTATCCGCCGGGGATGATTTGGGCCATGTGACCTCCGTAGTTCAACCCCATGGGGAACCAGTCGTGCATTCCCTCTCCTACCATCCTACCGAGGGCCGCTCCTATCTTGAACACCGGTATAAAAATGCCACTCGGTAGTGGGATTGTGGAACATATGATCGAACCTATAAACTAATAAAAAAGAAACATTAAATAAAATAAATAAATATATGGTCGTAAGAGAACAAGACAGGCGAATTACTACCCCCATATGAGTTCATATGACTTCCCCAAAAATTAGCCCTTAATAGGTAGGAATATAAAAGTTAAAATGATTGAAATTTTTTAAAACGGTTAGATAGATGCAAATCTTAGGAAGTTGTAGGTTTTAAAAATCGAAATATTTACTCACCGTAAATACAATGTAGAGAAATAAGTTGGTGTATATTCCTGTATACGGGGATTCCCAATGTTGTATTACGTTGTGTTCTTCGACTGTCCTGTTCGCCCCTGTCCAAGTAAAGTTTGAGAATAGGCTGGTCACTTGTTCGTGCGTTGTCAGGTCGCCGGCTATAAACTGACCAAACCCGAGAGGACACGACACAGTGGTCACCAATAGGGCAACCAAACCGGGGTAAAGAAACCGACTAATTGTGAAGAAAACAAAAGAATTATGCTTTTTGCATTATCTTTGGTAGGTACAACCCTCAGGTACTTACTTTTCTTGCAGAAACGAGTTGATAAGTTTACTTTTTCGCATAAAAGTAACATACTGTCGGTGCACCCATACGTAAAAGGCCCCCCCGAGACCACTGATGGTCCTAGTAAATAAATAAAAAGTAGTTTTTTTTTTTTTAAATACTACAAATGGCGTGGTGAGCGCCATCTGTAGTACGATGCTACATTTTAGGATTACGTATGCTCCAACAAGGTCCATTTAAATATATGGATNGTTATTCCTTTTTCTTGGTTAGTGTTCGCTGCAATTCTTATCTGGCATCTCTTTTCTATGCTTACGATATTCCCTACAACGCCTGTGGTGAGTAAAAATAGGCATTCTGCTAAGTTGAAAGAAGAAAGTAGATGCGACAGTTTTATTACAGACCATGCCAAATTTGAACGTTTCAACTATATGTAGGTATGTCCGGGGTACCGAATATCAAATACTAAGATCTATTACAAAAAAGATGTATCTATTATGTACAACGTATTAATAAATAATTAAAACATTTAAGCAATGATATGCAATAATTGAAAATATTGATCAGTAACATATTAATAGTCGAAATAATTAAGCAAAAACACGATAATAGTTCATGAAAAATATTGACGAATAATAATTGAAGTGATTATTAGAAGGTACGCTAATTAATTGAAAATGTCAACCTGTAATATATACATTTATGTATGTAATCGAAATAATTGAGAACAAAAAAATATGCTACTCATAGTAATATATTATAGTAATTATTGTAGTCTCGAACAAATCTAACGCGAAGTTTTAAAATCTTTTAATCGTAATGATAAAGTGCATAGTATAGGAATATACAACTGATAAGAACCATACATTAAGGTGAATTAATTTTTGAATTTAACTAACACAGACAACTTCAAAATAATGAGAAAAAACTGTTGCTGCTGTCTTGCCCTCGTCGGGAATCGAACCCTCACGCGCCATTGCTGTCATTGATAAGAACCGTACAAAGAACTTTTTTGGTTTGAGAAATTAAAAATACAGATTTACTGCTTTCGGAATGTAGTAGATTACAAAGCATACCAAAAAATGCTGGCGATTTAGTTGGTTGTAAAACTTTTGATAGAATTATTGCATCAATAAACGCAAAGGATTTATAAATCATTTTTAAGTCACTTATTACTTATTTTAAAAAGTTGAAAGTGCGTTTGTCTGTCTTTTTATTTGTTACTCTTTCACGTCTAAATTAATGTCAATAAGAAATAGGCGAAATCCGAGATAGGTTGGTAGGACCGTATCAGGCGTTTTGATCCCCGGACGAAATATCACTGAACGAAATATCACTGACAAAATATCCCTACACAAAATATCCCCATGACAAAATATCTCCAGACTAAATAAAAATTTCATGATACGTTTTATCAGCGATCTCGCTCGCGTTGATGTTCTAAATATGCGTCAAAGATAATCGACGATCACATAAAACTAATTTTTCTATTCCTCGGGAACAGTACTTTTTTTCTGGATAAAAGGTACCCTATGTCCTTTCCTGAACCCCTGACAATATATTTACAAAATTTCATGATACAACAACTTTCGCTACTAATGTCCTGAAAGTGAGATATTCCTTCAGGGCCACGCCCCGCAGTATCGTTTTCATTTCGGGAATACCCGAACCTATAAAAAAAAATTTATTATTTATTTCATCGTGGTCATTTGATTTTTTCGTCTTTTATTATTTATATGTGTTGTTTAGGGAGATTTTATTTGATTTTCACCCTTATTATTAATTAAAAAAGTACCTATTGACTGGGGTGCCACTAAATGTGAGAATCCTGCACCGAATAAAACCAGACATACTGGCAAACTTATCCAAGAAAAATACTGGGTCACTGGGTCCACTGCTAAATCTCTGTACAACCAAATTCTCGCTAAAAAGAATTACGAATGTTATTAAGTATATAAATATGTATAAGTAAAAAATTTTTTTTGCAAGTTGAACTCGTGTTCAAATTAAATTCTGCTGAAATTGGGTGGAATTGACGTTGGTTTTGTTTGTTAAAGTTACGAATGTGGAAAGAAGGTTATGAAAGGTCAACAGGAGTGTGTTTTTCGTGTTTAGTCAGTAAAAGGGCCCGTCAAGGACGTTCGTTTGGTTCGTTGAGTAAAAAACAAACGGTTGTTCTTCGAGCGCTTGTGATATTCGGTAGTAAAAAATGTGCAAACCGGGCAATTAAACTTTACAACTGATTAAAAATGTAAACAAATGACGAAAGTTCCATTGTGACAATGTCGCGCGTCGGTTCAAGTGAAAACTGTGTGCACTTGTTTGTGGTGTGACTTTTTTAAGTGTTTGAAATAATAATTTGATAAATTACTACATTTAGTATGGATATATATATGTTTCTCAATAATTCGGTAAGTAATACACGGCTTGTTATTTAAGTATTCAATTACGTAAGTTGGTATATTACTTAGCGCTCTTTATCAGAAAGTAGTGTGGCAATATACAGTATCGGCGAAGTATTAACCGTACAGGTGGATTGAAAGATACCACGTGATAGAGAAACATAAGTTCAATAAATACAATTTAAAACTTTTGGAGGTTAGGTTCATCGGTTTATTCTGAGATATAAAAAGAAAAAATGCCGTCAAAGAAATTTGTAATTTGTATGTCCGGTGAAGTTTTTGCCTTACCTGTATAGTAAAATCTATTGCAGCGTTGTTACACATTTCTTATGTTTATATTATCAATTATTTCGTTCGAATTCTGAAACCTTATTATAAATTTGGAATTATTAATGCTAGATAGTGCTAAATACGTTGCCCGTCTATTTTTTTTTTGCAAATAAACTTTCTAATTGCGAATTTTTTCGAGTGTCTGTCAATATTTGTTGCATTACAAGAACTTGGTGCAAGGTATTTGTTTATGCACAAAATTAGCGCATTATCCATAATTTGTTCTTTATAATGGGTTTATGTGACAAAATACCTTTGTTGAGGACCATGAACTATGCGATTACGAAACGGTGATGACGTTTTTAGTTTTATGGGTTTTGACGGACAATTTTTAAAAAAGGTTTTATGTGCGCTTTTTATCGTCGAATAAGGTCGAACTTGTTTCTAAAATTAGCGACATTTTGTAAATTAGGGCTTCAATGACTGAATATTTGTACTTTTTATTATGATAGCTAGAAATATCGAAGTTGCAGTACTAATTGTTAGTACGTAGAAATTTTGGTAAAGTGACTTTTTCAATGAAGTGATACTGAAAAGGTTGGGTTGGGTTAATTTTGGTTAATTTAAGATTTCATAATTCGTTTTGATCCTTGAATTAAGGGATTATCTTTGGGGAATGTTGTGTATTTTTGTTTTTTGGTAGGTATGGGTCAATTATTTATCGACTTAGAAGAACAATACAAGAAAAACTATTTACCTTTGTTACACATCGATATTCCTTTGTCTGTAATAAAACTGGCGAATGCCATAATTACCCCTAAAATTGCAAGGAAAATCCAATCTTCTCCCAGTTTCGCAAAAGTGTGTCTCCAAATGAAACCGATAGTTTTAGCAAATTTTCCTGAAACAGAAATGGTCCCTCAGCACGATTCCTTTAAAAATACAATATTTTATATATGTAGTTGGTACCTATGCTGATTTTTTTAATTATTTTTTTACCGAAAACCAACATTTTTACGTTAAAAACGTCGCTTCCTTCAGACGTAATTTTTCAATTAAAATCTCGGAAAAACTAGATTGCGTTAAACGGCGCATTAAACTTTATAATACCGANGTAAATACTACAAATGGCGTGGTGAGCGCCATCTGTAGTACGATGCTACATTTTAGGATTACGTATGCTCCAACAAGGTCCATTTAAATACATGGATATCTACTTGCTGAAACGAACCCCGGCGTAGCTCACCTCAACGTGATGGGCACGTTACCATAATAATCGAACAAAATAATTCGAAGTGGTCTGTATTCTGTCGAAACTGCCAGATGCGGATCGCGATTTCGATCTTTTTGGATCTCATCAGCACGTCGTAGGCAGCTCCGACAGAACACAGACCAACCTTTACCTGCTGTCTGTCGGAGCTGCCTATGACGCGCTGATGAGATCCAAAAAGATCGAAATCGCGATCCGCGTCTGGCAGTTTCGACAGAATACAGACCACTTCGAATTATTTTATTTTTTTTTTTGTTAGATTATCGTTATTTTTTTTAACGTACCCTATCAAAGCAAAGACGAATAGTTCTTGGGGGTCGAACGGGAAGTCCATTTGGAAATTGGTCCTGAAAATCGCAGTCACGGTGGCCGTCTTATCAAACCAGACTGATAACAATCTGAATACTGTTGCCCCGCACACCGCCGCAAAGAAACCCCTCCAATAATTTCTAACTGCGAAATATACCGTTGTTACCTCTATACTAAACAGAACCCCTGAAATAAAATAAAATTGGTACCTTTTTTTTGTACAAGACTGTACGTACAGTGCGTATATGTACAGTGGGAGACGGTGAAAATGAACGAAAAATACATAAACCGAAAAAGTTGAAAACAGAAGAACATGTGCTGTTGTATGCGTGTTGTTCTTTTGTTTTATGAACGTAGGGTTGAATTCGGGATTATTTTATGTTGTTCTTACCCCCGACTGGCGCTGCAAAACAACTTCCCACGCCTACTGCGCAGGCTGCTGCTAGCATTTCCGTATTTCTGCTTTCGTTTTCGTAGATTCCTTTAAATCCTGTTACCAGTTTACTAAGTATTGTTGCAACGATACTGGCGATATGTACAAAAGGACCTTCTTTCCCCAAAGGTAGCCCGCTACCGAGGGTGGCAATTAACCCAACAACTTTCGCTACTAATGTCCTGAAAGTGAGATATTCCTTCAGGGCCACGCCCCGCAGTATCGTTTTCATTTCGGGAATACCCGAACCTATAAAAAAAAATTTATTATTTATTTCATCGTGGTCATTTGATTTTTTCGTCTTTTATTATTTATATGTGTTGTTTAGGGAGATTTTATTTGATTTTCACCCTTATTATTAATTAAAAAAGTACCTATTGACTGGGGTGCCACTAAATGTGAGAATCCTGCACCGAATAAAACCAGACATACTGGCAAACTTATCCAAGAAAAATACTGGGTCACTGGGTCCACTGCTAAATCTCTGTACAACCAAATTCTCGCTAAAAAGAATTACGAATGTTATTAAGTATATAAATATGTATAAGTAAAAAATTTTTTTTGCAAGTTGAACTCGTGTTCAAATTAAATTCTGCTGAAATTGGGTGGAATTGACGTTGGTTTTGTTTGTTAAAGTTACGAATGTGGAAAGAAGGTTATGAAAGGTCAACAGGAGTGTGTTTTTCGTGTTTAGTCAGTAAAAGGGCCCGTCAAGGACGTTCGTTTGGTTCGTTGAGTAAAAAACAAACGGTTGTTCTTCGAGCGCTTGTGATATTCGGTAGTAAAAAATGTGCAAACCGGGCAATTAAACTTTACAACTGATTAAAAATGTAAACAAATGACGAAAGTTCCATTGTGACAATGTCGCGCGTCGGTTCAAGTGAAAACTGTGTGCACTTGTTTGTGGTGTGACTTTTTTAAGTGTTTGAAATAATAATTTGATAAATTACTACATTTAGTATGGATATATATATGTTTCTCAATAATTCGGTAAGTAATACACGGCTTGTTATTTAAGTATTCAATTACGTAAGTTGGTATATTACTTAGCGCTCTTTATCAGAAAGTAGTGTGGCAATATACAGTATCGGCGAAGTATTAACCGTACAGGTGGATTGAAAGATACCACGTGATAGAGAAACATAAGTTCAATAAATACAATTTAAAACTTTTGGAGGTTAGGTTCATCGGTTTATCCTGAGATATAAAAAGAAAAAATGCCGTCAAAGAAATTTGTAATTTGTATGTCCGGTGAAGTTTTTGCCTTACCTGTATAGTAAAATCTATTGCAGCGTTGTTACACATTTCTTATGTTTATATTATCAATTATTTCGTTCGAATTCTGAAACCTTATTATAAATTTGGAATTATTAATGCTAGATAGTGCTAAATACGTTGCCCGTCTATTTTTTTTTTGCAAATAAACTTTCTAATTGCGAATTTTTTCGAGTGTCTGTCAATATTTGTTGCATTACAAGAACTTGGTGCAAGGTATTTGTTTATGCACAAAATTAGCGCATTATCCATAATTTGTTCTTTATAATGGGTTTATGTGACAAAATACCTTTGTTGAGGACCATGAACTATGCGATTACGAAACGGTGATGACGTTTTTAGTTTTATGGGTTTTGACGGACAATTTTTAAAAAAGGTTTTATGTGCGCTTTTTATCGTCGAATAAGGTCGAACTTGTTTCTAAAATTAGCGACATTTTGTAAATTAGGGCTTCAATGACTGAATATTTGTACTTTTTATTATGATAGCTAGAAATATCGAAGTTGCAGTACTAATTGTTAGTACGTAGAAATTTTGGTAAAGTGACTTTTTCAATGAAGTGATACTGAAAAGGTTGGGTTGGGTTAATTTTGGTTAATTTAAGATTTCATAATTCGTTTTGATCCTTGAATTAAGGGATTATCTTTGGGGAATGTTGTGTATTTTTGTTTTTTGGTAGGTATGGGTCAATTATTTATCGACTTAGAAGAACAATACAAGAAAAACTATTTACCTTTGTTACACATCGATATTCCTTTGTCTGTAATAAAACTGGCGAATGCCATAATTACCCCTAAAATTGCAAGGAAAATCCAATCTTCTCCCAGTTTCGCAAAAGTGTGTCTCCAAATGAAACCGATAGTTTTAGCAAATTTTCCTGAAACAGAAATGGTCCCTCAGCACGATTCCTTTAAAAATACAATATTTTATATATGTAGTTGGTACCTATGCTGATTTTTTTAATTATTTTTTTACCGAAAACCAACATTTTTACGTTAAAAACGTCGCTTCCTTCAGACGTAATTTTTCAATTAAAATCTCGGAAAAACTAGATTGCGTTAAACGGCGCATTAAACTTTATAATACCGAAAATTTATCCACATAATATTCGAGATTGGTCCAATATAAACAGTAACCCGTGCAATAAATAATTCTATATATTGGAACCAAAATAAATTTCATTTTAAATCCTGCGACAGACATAATTTCTTTCAATTCAAGGTGTCTTCTTTTATACCATTGGAATTGTATCTTCACTTCTTTTAGAAACTTAAAATTAGAAACTGTTAATGATAACGAAACGTTAAATTTTCAAGTTGTTGGTCAGTAATTTATCTAGAAACTATTAGACAAATGTCCTGTAAACCTGACTTATTTATTAGTAGGGTTTTACCAGCGTTGATATCCTAAATACATGTCAAAAATCATCGACGATCACATAAAACTAATTTTTCTATTCTTCGGGAACAGTATTTTTTTTCTGGATAAAAGGTACCCTATGTCCTTTCCTGAACCCCTGACAATATATTTACAAAATTTCATGATACGTTTTATCAGCGATCTCGCTCGCGTTGATGTTCTAAATATGCGTCAAAGATAATCGACGATCACATAAAACTAATTTTTCTATTCCTCGGGAACAGTATTTTTTTTCTGGATAAAAGGTACCCTATGTCCTTTCCTGAACCCCTAACAATGTATGTAGAAAATTTCAAGAAGATCGGTTGAAGAGTTTAGGCGTGAATTGGTAATAAACAAACAAACTCACATTGGAATTAATATTATATAGAATGACAGTACTTACCATGGTATCCGTGAAGTTCTTTTTTTCTGGCTTTTTCTTCCTTTAGTCTCCTCTTTTCTGCCTGTTTAAGAGCCTCTAATTTTGCGAATTCTCCCAACTGTCTACTGTATCTGCCATACATCTGAAATAAAAATATAAAAATTCTACTTTTTCAAACAAATATCGTAACTTACAGAGATGAAGATCGCGTCTAAACAGTACATTTTGATATTACTTATACGTACATACATACACACATATATTTTTATTTAAAACCTAGTGAAATAAAAATATGTATATATGTAAATATATAATATCCTATCACAGAAAGTAACAAAAATGTCGAAGCTAAAAATCTAATGGTCTTATTGAATAAGTAGATGCATAATTAATTTAGGTGGCTTAAACAGTTTACTAATTAAGTAGTTTATACTTAAAAAGCTTTTTGATATTTAACAATCGCAAAAGTGTTAGGTAGAGAATGTGCAGAATAACAACAATTATTATTGAAGTCTTAGAGGAGCATGGAAGCACGAACATCTTTCAAGCAAATTTTGCTAAAAACTATGAACAATCTAGCGCATTCGATGTTTTTATATTGTTTAAACAAATTGGAATTTCAATAAGAAAACAGCAAAAACCACTAACGTATTGTGTATCCTTGCATGAAACAAAATCATCGTAAAAACAGAACACTTACAAGAAAACCAACGAAATTTTTCCGGTAGAAGAACCAATTTGATATTATTGATTTACGTAAATTGGGATTGCGGTACAAAAGTATTATAAAAACACAAAATTTGGTAGTATCCCCATTGAAAATAAGTTTTATTTATTTATTAAAATACATATGTATGCTGAATTAGGTAGATTTTGCTAAATAATCTTACTATAACTATGACGGAAGTTAAAATTAATTTAATTTACAAGATTACTGATTATTTTTTATAAGCAATATGCGGTTACCCTCGCCGGGGATCGCACCCAGGACTTTAAACACTTATGCATGTACACACGTATGTACTTAAGGACGTTTTGTCGTTTTTGCTGTTGTCACCTCTCATAGCTTAGTGTTAAAACCATTGGTGCGTAAAGCCAGAGGTCCGGGGTTCAGTTCCCGGGGAGGATGTGACGACAGCAATAATTTTTCTCATTAATTTCTAGTAGATAAAAATTAAATAGTTTGCATACATCTATTGAAACGTTTCTTACAAATACGTCGAAATCATCATCAGGTGGCGGACATGGATAGAAAGCTTGTTCCCTTGAGTTGCCCTTCTTCGTGAGCAACTTATTGAATTCGTCCCATTCTTTGTCGATAGCATCGATATCTTCTTCGCCAAAGTGGGCTTCGGAAACTGTACTTTCCATTTTCGTAACGACTTAAGCACACAAGTTTTGTAGCACTTTTATTGCTTATTTTTTATTCACAACTGCGTCATTTACATTAAAATCATGTGATTTTTAAACCGTGTAACCTTACGAACAATTGATTAATTAATATGGTTATGGATTTGTGTAGAATGATAGACTGCACTAGTAACTTTTAATCTTATCTTTTAAAACTGGATTTAGTTTGTTTTCTTCGAAAAATGTAGATTAATTAGCGTTTATTTGAAATGTATATAAACATTAATTTATGCTATGATCATTTTTTAATAGATCTTTTGTTTTTGTCTGAAATTTTTCTTTAGAAAATCTACTTTTGTTTGTTAATAAATATAATATCAGGCCACAGTTGAACCACTAAACTTGTAGCACTGGACTGAATATGTAATGTATTGTATTTGAAGTAATAACGTCTCCGCGATTTTTTGATCTTCGTCTAGCTTACGGGAACAATAATAATAAGAAAAAGAAAGAGAATTCTATTTGATTTGACCGTCATCGCACAGCATGCAATTTTCTCATTAAAGAAAACACTTATTTCATTTAGACACTCGGCTTTAAGTTATTTCAGTTTGATTTTAGAAGAGCACATCTTTCTATGTGTTTCATACAATCTAACAAACTTACCAAAACTAAGAAAATGCATAGATACAATAAGGGCAACATTATATGGGACTGACTTTTAAATACCTGCATAAAATTTAAATATATCGATAGACCAATACTGTATGGGATCGATTTTTACATGCAGTCATAAAATATACGCGTTAAATGTAAAGTAGATTCTACTTATTACATTACGTTAATTAATTTATGGTTTACGTCGAGAAGTTTTAAAAGAAGATTGATGTAGTGTTTAAGGATAACGTTAAGTGGAATTGAGTTTTCAAGTATGATCGTTAAATTAAATACAGCAAAAATAGAATTAAAAACGATTCTATACATTCATAAACTTAGGAATTTCTAGCATTTGCAATTTACCAAAAGTGCGATCAATTTATTCTTTTTATGGATACATGTAAACTTCGGTACTCTTTAACGTAGGTACCCCGTAGTATAAAGTAGGAATGTTTTTAAATATGGTATGGTAAATTAAGCATGAAGACGTAATGTGTATTAAATATTTACAAACAATCGAATAAACGTTTGTTTTTATGAGATATCATTACAAATGGGAAAATTTTTAGTTTGCTGTTATTATTTTGAATAAAAATAAAAGAAGCGAATGAAAACTGAAAATAAATTTACCTGGCATTTAGTACAATCCTTTATTATGGTCATATTTCTATAATGACAAGACAAGACCACTTCTTTTGGAGCTAAAGGTATAAAATAAACTGTCTGCACTTTTATTTTATCCATTTTTTTTTTACTTATTTTATATTTATCATATTAATATCTAGATAAACCGTGGAATGTATTTTGAGTAATATATTATAGTAATTATTGTAGTCTCGAACAAATCTAACGCGAAGTTTTAAAATCTTTTAATCGTAATGATAAAGTGCATAGTATAGGAATATACAACTGATAAGAACCATACATTAAGGTGAATTAATTTTTGAATTTAACTAACACAGACAACTTCAAAATAATGAGAAAAAACTGTTGCTGCTGTCTTGCCCTCGTCGGGAATCGAACCCTCACGCGCCATTGCTGTCATTGATAAGAACCGTACAAAGAACTTTTTTGGTTTGAGAAATTAAAAATACAGATTTACTGCTTTCGGAATGTAGTAGATTACAAAGCATACCAAAAAATGCTGGCGATTTAGTTGGTTGTAAAACTTTTGATAGAATTATTGCATCAATAAACGCAGCGGTTGTATAAATCATTTTTAAGTCATTTATTACTTATTTTAAAAAGTTGAAAGTGCGTTTGTCTGTCTTTTTATTTGTTACTCTTTCACGTCTAAATTAATGTCAATAAGAAATAGGCGAAATCCGAGATAGGTTGGTAGGACCGTATCAGGCGTTTTGATCCCCGGACGAAATATCACTGACAAAATATCCCTACACAAAATATCCCCATGACAAAATATCTCCAGACTAAATATCACCGAACAAAAGCCCCGATAATAAATTATCGAACGGATACTCCAATAAATAATATAAAATTCATATACTTCATTTCATATATTTATTTGTATTTATTGAATAATAATAACTTTTGATTGTCAGTAATATATAAGTCATTAAATCGATAATCAAATAAATATAATAGCATATATATTGGTTCCATGATTTTTCCATGGTTCCAATAGTTATTATAAACTAGTTAAATTTACTTTATATTCTTTGATACAATAACAATTATTTGGTGTCATTTTTTTAGCACATTGATATTCAATATTAGAGCTTATAAAAATATAATATTTATAGTTACTACATTGACGACTAACAAACAAAAACCGTCACTTTTAATTATTAAATGATATCATTTTGGCAATACTTCGCAAATAGTTCAATTTATTATTCGAATCATAATTAATTCCCACTCGTTCGCGTATCATGCACCGTTTCTGCACGGCACCGCATTGCCATCGACGACGAGTACCACATTATTTGTTTAGAATACATTACAAGAAAAAAAATGAACGATCGGCTAAATCCGCCGGGGATATGCCGATGAGGGACGGGGAACGTTTTTTGGGTCGCGTTAGGCTACTGTAAGGAATGGAACGTACGATAAGGTGGCATGGCGCAAGTTTGACCGGGTTAGGTTAGGTTAGGTTAGGTTAGGTTAAGTTAGGTTAGGTTAGGTTAGCTTAGATTGCGCTGGATTGACTTGGGTTGGATTGTATTATCTTTGATCATGTGAGGTGTGGTTGGTAAGGAAGGGAACGTATGGCAAGGTAGCATGGTGCAAGTTTGACAGAGTTAGGTTAGGTTAGGTTGAATAAAATGTTGGAAAAAATTTCTTATAGGGATTTTTAGGGTGGGGGGATATTTTGTCTAGGGATATTTAGTCTGGAGATATATTGTCACGGGGACATTTTGTCACGGGGATATTTTGTCCGGTGATATTACGTCGGGGGATGAAAAATTATGGAACCGGTAGGACACCTTCCCAGAGTTGAAGGGCTAGTTAGGGATATATTAGAAGCAGAAACAGGAGTTAGGGGTAGAAGTAGATCTAGATTTTAGCTAATGAAACGAAGAAATGTAAATACATTTTCAATACACCTATTTATCAGTAATGTCTTTAAGACAAAAATTTTGTGGTTTATGTTTCCTGAATAGCACCTACATAGTTTTTCGTGTAATTTATTGAAGGAAATAAAGGTTTAAGGGATTTCAAATGTTCTTTAGAGAATTCAAATTAACATTATATAAAAAAATTTTTAAGACATTTATAGTTTAATTCTGCTATCGTAAATTTAATCGTTTTTTCCTGTTATCTTTTCCTGGCGTGTAATAATTAAAAAAAAAAGAGGTTTTTAATGCGGATTGTATTTTNCAGATAAGTCAGGACGGAAGGAGAGGTAGGGATATAAAGCGGAGGATAGCACAGGGTCGAGTCGCTTTTAATAAAAAGATGTCACTTCTATGCTCGCGAACGATTCATTTAGAAATTCGAAGAAGATTGTTGAAGGTGTATTTTTGGAGCGCGGCGCTGTACAGGTGCGAAACATAGACACTGGGCGCGCCGGTAAAAAAAAGGTTAAAAGCATTTGAAATGTGGTGTTACAGGCGAATGATGAGGAAAACGTAGATAGAGAAGGTTAGAAATGAAGAGGTATTAGAAAGAATA